GATAAGGATTTAAAATTCATACAATTACTTTTTAAACTATTTGTATCTCATATATTGATTATTCTCAATAACATAGAATTTATTATTATTTCAAATCAATTTCTACTACTATGATTATTATAATTACCAAATTCATTACATGTTTATCAAATATATTTACCGATCAAATTGTGTTGGGTATGTAGCAAGAATTGATGGAAAATAGAGGGAAGGAGAGGAATTTGAAAAGTTGACAGCTTGAAAAATTGAGAACTTGAAAAGTCCTCTTATGCTTTAACGAAAAGACATTTGTCTCTCATCGGTGATGAAAAAAAATAGGAGAGTTTAAATACATAAACACTCCTATTAATTGTTAAAAGGGTTGGAAAGAGAGACCCCATCGCGCCGCCGCCGCTCGCTTCGGCTTCGGCAAATGATCGAGAGACTATTTTTTGGACAAAGTCGGACCGTTTTTCTAAAAGGTTGCAACTTTCAGGAACAGTCAATACCATTTGAAAGGTTGCAAACTTTCATTAATGGTCGTGTCAATTCTGAAAGGGTTGCAACCTTTCAGAACGTATTCTTCTTGCCTATAAATACCACTCATTCTTCAGAATATTTCTTAACGAATTTTTTGATTTCTTCTTCTTCTTCTGCACACATTTTTCTTCGTGTACTTTCCTGTTGTGGATTGCTTCGCTGACGGTAGAGTTTTTGGTATCTACACTCTGCTGATTAAGATCATTTTACCCTGGGAGGTTATATTCCAAATCAAACTTCGGATACTAGAGGATAATAATTTCCTTAAGGGGACACTGTGAGTTCAGTGGACTTGATCTTCTTCCAATTCAAAAGAAGATATTTCAGATTCTGGTACGTTTTTACAGATTTAAGTATTTTGTGAATTAAATTTCTGTTCATCTCGCTTACTGGTTCTATAAATTTCAGTTACTTCCTGTTTCTGAACAATTTATTACAATCAGTAATTTTTGATTTTGATAACACAGATTGGAAACAAATTGAACAATACATGACTCAAAGTAACAATGTTGGTTTGTCTTCTCAAACATATAAATGAGAAATTCAAGTTTAACTTGAGAAGATTATCTGTACAAATGTTAACGGATTGTATTAAAGCAGTACACCATAACTTATGCTTAATTTTTTTTATTAAAATAATAAAATTTGATCAATAAATAGTATATTGTTTAAGAATATATTTATGATAGTATATTACGTAATTTTTATAAACTTGATACTTATTTGATAAAATTGTATAATGAATTAGGCTAATTTTGTTATAGTTTTAGCATTGTTATATCTATAAAAAAACATACAACGCGAAAAATTCAAATCGTATATCTAACAAAATTTTATCTTTTTATCTTATAATTTCATACCTAATACTAATCTAGTTTCACAAGAAATGGCACAAAAAGTTAGGAGTTGGGACTTTAAATGCTAATTAATGTTGGCCAGTAGTAATTGGTTCCACCACCCCAGACCCAGGCTAAAGCAGAAAAAATCTGAATGTCTAATTATAAAATATAACTCGTAGATAAAATTTTATTTGATATTTTTTTTCTGGAAATTAAAATCTATTGAGTAATTCAATATAGACATAATTTATGTGAAAATATAAATTTAATTCTAAAAATCTAATAATCAATTCGATATAATTTGACATTTAGATGAACACAAATTGTGTGGCAATAGTAATGCAAGCTGCAAAGAATAATTGAAGGGCTTCAAATATTAAGGTAGCTTAGTACTGCTTTTCTTTTGGTAGATTTAAAAATGGAGTTAATGGAATAACTCTCTTTTATTTTATTTTATTTATGTTTTCAAGGTGCACCTTAAATATGCAAGCATTAAGTTTTCTAGATAAAATTCATAGACTCCAATGAAATAATAAAAAGTCCGAAAATAACCTTGAGGACATTATTAACTCGGAAAAAATGGTACATAATAAAGAAAAAATTATATTGAACAATTAATGTCTTTCACATTCATATATAATAATATGTGGTTTTAAATAATAAAAACATTATAAATTAAAACACTTCAACATAAAAATATTTGAAAAATAAAAAAATATTTAATAGGATTAAAGGCTTTTTAACAATTGACTAGGACAAATCTTAGAATAAGTCAAAGTATAAATTGATGTCAAGCTTCGATCAAACAATTAAATTTAGACTAAGATTGATGTTGTATAATGTGGTGGGAACGTAGAAATATTAATAAGTCTTAGGTAAGACGCATTTGTTGAAAATTCGGCGAGTTGGATAGTTGGCCGAGTAAAAGCACACAAAATTATTAATTCTTATTTACTGTTAGGTTATGGAGCCTGATTAATATATATTATTGTTCTTTATTTATTCTCTGTAATAAAAAATATTTGATTTATCAATATATATACTTTACCACTGTGAAAGTTTACTCACGAAGTGTTATCACGAAATATTGATTTATCTCTTTTTCTCTCTAGATCTCTCATCTCATTCTCTCTAAAGATCTTGTATTTTTTATTCATCAAGTGTGTGTGGATTCGATCCTAACATTTACTTTATATTAATTTAAGCCGTATAACTATTAATTGTCTATTTACTTTATATTAATTTAAGCCATATAACGTATTGTATCTTAAATGTATCATTTAGTAATACACAGTACGCGGAGGTGAATTCTAAACAAATATACATTTTAGATTAAATCTTCTAAATGCTTCTATACGTGTATCTTCGTAAACAATACTCACATAAACATTACTTGATCTATAGTTTAGTAACACGAGGTTACTTGTTATCTTTTTTATTGGGTTAATTGTATTATATTACGACATTTTGTAAGTGTTACAACTTGATTTTCCATTCAGCAACCAAAACCAGAGTTAATGGCAGATGGACCCCCTTAATTTAGTAAAGGGTATCACTGTCATTACGTAACCACTTTATCAACAACAACAACAAAAATAATTTCTGATATACTAAAAATTTTGGAAAGATTTTCCGAAAAGGATTATGCTGGAATGGTAAATATTCCATTTATAGTTAGAGATAGGGTTTTGAGTTCTTTTAGATACATAATCGTCTTTGTTTGGAAACACTTTACTCTTCAATATGAAAAAATAATTTCGTGGCGAATTCAAATTTAATACAAAAAATGTTTATTTACGATTTTGAATAAGAAATTAAAAAATAAAAAAATGTTTATTTACGAACTCAATATTTGACTTTTAAATTATATTGTAGACATTTATTTAATTTTTAAAAATCAATTCATCATCAATTTTTTCAAGCAGTGTATGATAAAGAAAAATAAGGGAAATTATATATATAATAAACCTTTTTTTTATATATATATAGCAAAATAATAATATACAACGTGTAAGTTTACATATAAATTGAGGGAGGGTAGAGTTAAAGGTCAAGTGATTATATCGAATAGACCTTCGACTTGGGTAGAAGCATTTCAAAAAAAATCAAAAATAAAAATAAAATAAAATAATAAGAGGGAAAAATCACAACCAAAAATACTAAAAAAAGGTATGATAAAGTTAAATAAAAATTTATAATTCCAATTAAAATTGAAAGATACTTATCTTAACATCATTTGAAATCTATATTCTTAAGCTAAACAAAATTAATTTCAATGATCTTCTTTTTGCATGGCATATGAGAATTATACCAAAAAAAGAAAAGAAAAGAAGAAGGTACTAAAACTAGAAGTATCAAATATATAACTATCAGTCTTTCTAAAGTAATTTCGCAAATATTTAAATAATGATAAGAAATTGCCTACTTGATGAAAATTAAAATAAACCACATTATTCTTCACAACATATATATAACAATATATTAAACATTATATAAAATAAATTACAATGACAATAAAATATATAAGGAAACATAGTTTTATTCATTAAGATCGTAAATACAAATCTATTAAGCTGTTGATCCTTACTTATAAGATTTATCTTTGATTCAAAGATATTTACTAACATATTCCTCGAACTAAAATAATTTGAATTTGATTTTTTTATGAATATTTCATGAATTTGCGAAATATTCGAGATGTTTTTTCAAGGGAATATGATAGCTTTTATATAGGCATGAATTGAAATTTCAGATCGCGTAACCTCCAAAAATACTAACTGAAATTGAATAACCTTATATAATTCCAACTCAAACTGAACATATTTTTATAGAATATCACAAAAATTCTAGTATCTACCATATGCATTTTAGAAAATGAGTTTTTCCTTTTCATAGTTATTCGATGGTAACCTTTTTCAATTTAGTTGGACGACGAAATACTATTTCAATCTAAAGTCAACTTTATAATATATAATGATAAATTGTTCGAATCGAAGGTGTACACGAATGAATGTTTTCATAGAACAAGTACTAGATTTTTTTTCTTAGATATGCGACAAAATTCTTTTATGATGAGAAAGCATATGTGATTTGCTCAAGTTTACGACGCAATTAACATTTTAATTTTACAACAACATAATGAGTACATTACAATTTTATAAATATGATTCTATGAGTGCTATGTATGCAAACTTACTACTATTTTATAAAGAGAAAAGAAACTGCTCTAGATAATTTTTAATAAGCTCAAATTGTACATGATTAAATTAAGTATAAAAAAAATACAAAAATAAATCAGTTTAAGCTCCAGATCTATTGGAGTAGTATTTAAGGATTATTGTTGAACCCTTTGATAAAATTATAGAACCATTGGTTTTTTCTAATTTAGAAAATGAGAATTGTTTTATCTGAGAGTCTCTTTAAGCTCCAGTTTTATTATTTAAGGATTATTTTTGAACCCTTTAAAATTATTAATGAATATTCCCTATGATAAAGTAACAATAAATTTAATTTGCTATTGTTTCTTTAGTAATTAAACTTTAACTGGGACTTTACAACATTTTCAACAGTTTAGTGGTCAAAAACCTTATATTAAAGAGTTTAGGGGTGAATTCTAACATTTTGTTAGAAAACTTTCCAAATGAGAAAAAGAAAATAAGGGACAATGAAAAACGCAAATGTTTTACTTTAGTCCCACAAAGTTCGTCGGCGGCAGAAAAACGGCGGCCGTGAAAAATGGGGAAGAGCGGGAAGAAGAAAAGTCACCAACAGAACCGTAGAGATAGAGCTTACTATCTAGAACAGGAAGAACCAGAATACCCAGTTGCCCCAACTGTTGAGTCCACTCAAGAAGATGAAGAAGATGAAGAAGAGAGTCAAGATGATCTTATTTCTTCATTTTCAACCAATGATATCCCTTCAAAGTTTTCATTATACCAACAGTCTGTGCAGGCAAGAATACCCATTTGCCAAAATCTTTTCTTTTTAACTAATTAGACAAATTGGAGTAACTTAATTAGTACTTATCTTTTTATTGTTGCAGTCACCAAAAGGGGATATAAGTTATCTGCAGAAATTCTTCTTGATGTACGTAGGTGGGAGGGTGCCCCTTCATTTCCAGGAAGATTTCTGCGGAACTGGTCTTTTGAGGTATACTTTGAACTACCATGTGTACTTGGAATTTATTGGCAATTTTAGCTTATTTGCTGCTCATATGCTCTTTATGTTTAAGTTTCTTGATCATCAATTTGTACATTGCTTGAATATATAAGAAACCGGAAATTGAGCGGATTTTGGCAAGTAAATTATTGCTGAAGATTTAGCCTAAGATGATGAAATACATGCTAATATCTTCAGACTACAAGAGTTAAGCCATTCTCTTATGCAATTCTTGGAAATGTTTAATGTAGCTTAGTGCTTTAAATTGGGTTTTGGTTTACTTTGCGCCACTGAAATTAGCTGCTGGATGGTAGGTTATGTTACGTAACTATTAGTGGTCATCAAAGTCCTTATGGGACTTGATTTCAGTTGAATATTTGAGCACTTATAAAGCTGCAAGTCCAGGGAGAGCATGGCTGCTGGCCTGCTGTCCGATAGCTGGTTAGATTTATGTCCAAGATTTTGAGGTGATGCAGCAGCAGAAGGTTCATCATTTTAGCTTATGTGCTGAACTAGTTCTTTTTCGTGGCTGTCTGTTCTATAATTATATTTTACTTTTAGGGTGACAATTTCTAGTAGCTTGATAATGTTGCTTTGTTGCAATGGAGTTAAACTTCACCTATCAAAAACACATGTTATCCGAAAATTGATTTGAAATTTTTGGTACTAACGTTGTTGATAGCCAACAGTTATTCCCACTGAATATAGTACAATATATTCTCTTGATTGATGTCTTTCTTTCTGGAAATAGAGTATTTTTGCAATTGTTATTTCTTTCAAACTTATATTTAAGCTTACTTCTCAAATTGTCTGTCAGTTTGTCTCCATGTTGAACTAATGATACTAGCCATACTTGTCACACCTGTTCATTGGGACACACACACTAGGTGATTTGTTCTCGTCTATCCAAGTCTTCGTAATGGTGGATAGAATTAACCACACTTAATCTGTGGAATTAGTCGAGGTGCGCACAAATTGGCCCAGACACCATGGTTATAAAAATAATAATTAATGCATAGTTACAACTCATTTCCTGTGCAACTTCATTAGCTAACTCAACTGTTATTGTGTAACACCACCTATCCTGATGCATTTTGGCAGTACCGAATGGCTCCATAGTGATGCTAGGCGCACTGCTATTGGATTAGATTTAGACGTTGAGGCACTTGATTGGTGCATGGAGAACAATGTGAACAAAGTTGGTGCTGATGTCTCTTCCAGAATATTTCTGTTTCATGGTAATGTGTTGCAACCTCTTGAGGCCAAATTGGTTAATGTCTCTACTCAAAATCTCATGCAAAATGTAACACTAGGAGATAGTGAAGATGATTCTCCTGATCACAAATTGATGAAGGATTTTCAATTTCCTGCAAGAGATATAGTTTGTGCTTTTAACTACAGTTGTTGTTGCCTTCATACTCGCCAAGAACTAGTTTCATACTTCAAACATGCCTTAAGTGCTCTGAACAAGAAGGGTGGTATATTTGTGATGGATCTATATGGAGGCACATCAGCAGAGCATGAGCTAAGGATGCAGAGAAAATTCCCGAACTTCACAGTATGTCTATCCAAACTATAGATGATCTTTGTCTTCTTTGTGTACTAGAATCTGGATTTTCACTTTCTTGCCATTTTCTTGTTATTTGATTTCAGCATATAAATTTTTTCTTTTCTCAATTCCTTTTCAGGACAATTCGGAACAGTGCTATAATGAATTTTTTTCAATGTCAACATGTCAATTCTGAGGATGCTCGCATTTCTATGCATTTTTCGTCATTAAATTTTTGGGTTGTTCCTGCTTTTGATCCATTTCTTTCACTATTAACTGCATTGAAACTCCATTTATTTCAATGAGACAGTTAGTCAACTTGCTAATAGAGCCAACAATTCCATAATGAAAAAGCTCCTCCATGATCTATCATCCTCGACTGCTATCACCAAACCCCCTCCCCCCATATCCAACCCTATAGCTCCTCCTCTGTTATAGACATGCAAAACTTATCTCGGTGTTATTAAATAATAAAACACACAAAACCTAACATGTACATGAAATTTAGTATCATAATCTTTGCAAAGAAATTTTTTTTGTATAATCTTTTTTGGCTGTCATTTATTTTAAGGTAAAGACCATATAATAAATGAACTAGTTTTAAGGTAAGACTGTATATTACTGTCATCTTATGATACAGCTCATTCAGCTAGGTACACAACACACCTACCTTAATTCATGTCACAATGGTGGTGTATTCCAATTTACACTAAATGACTTACTTCTTATTGACAACTGGCCTAATATAGTAATTGCAACTGGTCATGTAATGGAGACTGGACAAGATATCCTTACGAATGTTGATGTGATGTGCTAGAGCTTAGTTCCTTTGGTTAATTGCTTCACTTAGAAAAGAACGTGCACACCCAGAGGCCAGAAGTAAGCTTTTGTAGCAAATTGCTGGCTTTAGGTTTCTTTATGGCATAAATTGATATATTGTGATGCATCTGGATGAACAAGGTCCTTTTCTGAAATACAGAAAGGTGAGCCATAATCAGGCCTGTGTGCCGGCTATCTTATGTAATAAGTAACCCTTATATTTGTAAGAACTGTTACTTCCTCGAGATATTCACTAAATGATTGAATTGTAAACTGTGCTCTCTGTCTCACAGTATGTTTGGGAGCAAGCTGAATTTGACATCATTAAGCGGAAAACGAGGATCAGCCTCCATTTTAATCTGCACAAGCCGCAAAGGAAAATTCGCCATGCATTTTCTTATAGCTGGAGACTGTAAGTCACTTCCTCTTCTATTATAGAGAAAACGTCACATCCTCATTCTATTATGGTACTTCTTTTATTGTTGCTGCTCACTTAATAGCATGAAATGTATTTCTTGCGTATAGGTGGTCATTGCCTGAGATCAAAGACTGTTTGGAAGAAGCTGGATTTCAGTCAGTCCACTTCTGGATCCGACATATGCCTGACAGCGAAGATATCAGAAGCACATATGGGCTTGCTGCTGGACGAGACATAAAATATGAAGAGGTTACAAGTTTTCAACAACAAGATTCATGGAACGCATACATTGTAGGTGTTGCATAGCTGCTATATCTGCCTCATTTTCATGAAAGTGGGCTTAGGTAAGACGTTATTCTTCATTTCGTCTGAAGCTAGATCAGCAGATTGAATTACGCGTGTCTTTTTTTGATAAATTTTAGTACACAAACAATGTTGTACCCTCATCTATAAGTTCTTTTTAACTAGGAAGTAATTCAGTTAAGCCTCTGGGATCTCTGAATATGGTGCCTCAGTTCTTCATTGAGAAATAGGCTTATAAACTTCTTAGTATCATAAAGACTTTCAGTTTACTCAGATAATTAGATAGTGAGGCCCCATCAATCAACATGAGCAAAACTGTTACCATATACTATCCAAAAAAAAAATTGGATTTAGCAACGGACAAATTTTGTAGCTAAACAAACAAAAAAATCGGTCAGTAATCCTATCTAGCGACAGAATTGTCATTGATAAATTTAGACTGCATCATTGCTGTAATCATTCATTTATTCCAAAGGCGTGCACTTGACTGAAAATTAGTACAGTAGTATTTTTTGAAATGATAAAAATAATGATACTAATTGATAGGTGCAGGGATGTAAAATTATTATTGGATTCCTTCTGCTGAGTGTTCTCGATTAAAGTTTTAAAAAATGAAAACACAAGTTCCTTTAATTTGAAAATCAAACATCCATTTGGTAATACATCAAAAGAACACTGCTTTTTGTTTAAGCTCAAAATTTCCAAACTTCAAATAAACTATATAGATTCCTCTTCTATCATTAATTAAAAGTTTCAAATTCGAGTTTTGAAAAATAGATTCGTTTTGGTAAGGGAACACTTCATCTTCCAAAAATTTATACGTAATAAGTCTGAGTCCAAAATATGATCCATCCAAATATTTGAGATTATGGACTCTACATTTTAGAAAAGACACCATTCAGTTTTGAATCAATCATATATAAATTTTTACTACTCATACAAAATTTTGAATAAAATTATCAATTTTGTATTTAAAATTCTAACTTCACCCTTTAAATTATGCGTGTAAAAGAAAGAAAAGAAAACTTTGATCAGCAAAATTCATGTGGCGTGTTGACTTATTAAGTGTCAAAGTAAAAGATCTCTTACTTATAATGAAGGAAGACTATAGTTTATAGTATATGGACCTAGGGATTAGAAAAATTGATCCTCATTCATAAGTGGATTAATTAACGCCTAAAGTAGCTTAAAAGCTATGTACTAGTATATTTTACTTACTTATTCATCAACCTAAATAATAATAGTTTATAGCTCTAATCTACTGAGATTATGCGATTTCAATTAATCTGTTATTTTTAGTTACTAAATACTATGTATATGTGTATCATATGACACTTATTTTTAATTAATAATTAAAGTTCGTTTCTCAATCTTTTTCAAACATTTCTCATTTTTCCAGTACAATACAATATTCGAAAATAAACAACGTAGCTAAATCTTGTCTCTTATTGCCACACTGTCCTAACAAAAAGGTGGTCGCCAATAACCACAAGCACATGGTTCGTAGATCTAGCACATTGAATTATTGAACTTCTATAGTACTTAGTACCTACTCGATTCTCTAATTTATTCAAATGTAGAGGATCTCTGAATACTTTCTATCGACAATTTTATTATTTTCATAAATCCAAATGAGTTATTTAAGCGATGGTATAAAAAAAAATCTGCTCTTGGTGTTAACTAGCTAAGTTTTCATCTTACAAATTCACACTATTTTAACATGAAACATGATGATCATCTCAACCATGTGATTACCTACCAAAACAAAACATAATTAGTATGACCTGTTTGCTTGTGCGTGATGTTTTGAAAAAAATAAGTTCAAGGCATATATGCTACGATTAAAGATGAGTATTTAGACCACAGTAAGCGTTTATTTTAAAGTTATCTTCTTTTATACATTGTGAAATTTTTAGTTTATAAAAAAAAATGTTTAAATAGAATTTCAATTTTAAATTAACGTGATTTGAAATAAAGAACAATCATGCCCTGAAGTAATGATAATGATAAGTATAAAAGCAAATTATTCAAACTTTTTTTTCTCAAATTCTCACACGTAAAAGTTTAAATTGCAACAAGGGTTAATAAGAAATCCATTTGCATACGTTTATAATTAGTAAATTCTACCTAACCTGAATTACTTAATCTTTAGCGTAAGACTGTAAGGTGAACTTAATTAAAAACCTACAATTTCCTAAATGAGAAAAAAAAATTATATGTATATTTTTTCTAACTTTATATATTTCTCCAAGGAAACAAGAAATTAATTTCACTATATCATATTGTTGACGGCAAATCCATAGGCACTCCGCCCAAAACATGCCGTCTTCAATTTATTTAATCTTATATCATGTTTATATTTTAATCATAAATATCACAATCATATTTTAAAATTTTAATTAATCCCACATCAATATAAATTATTGCGACTCGTGAGTAGCTCCATTGAAATACACAACGTAACATTTTATTTTGCTTAATATTTTTAACACATCAAAATAACTATTTTATTTTTAACGTTACATTAATTATAATAATAAAAATATAATTTAAATATGACTAGTAAAAATAACTAAAAAATAAAGAACGATTTCAGACCTCTTGAAATGATGAAAACGATATTCGAAAACAATGACCTGAAGATATTCTTTTTTGGTTGGGTACTACTGGACTAGTAGTTGAATTAAAGCAGGTGTAATTAACGTCTTAATTAAGCGAAACTAAACTTAATTAAGAGTAGTTAATTACTACATTAAATAACAAATTAAAAACCTCAGAAAACCAATAACAGTTAATCACCCAAACCCCATTGTCACTAAAAATTTGCAGTTTCCATCAGTATATCACCATTTTTTTTCTCTCTTCTTCCTCAGAACTATTAGGGTTCTACCCCACCCCCACCACCCCCGTTAAATATCTTGGAAGTTACAGATCTATTGTTGTATTTAAACCCTACCCAAAAACTCATAAATCTTCATATTCTTGATTTTTTCTTTCACTACCAAGTATGAACCAGAATCGTACTCGTTTAATTTCTTCTAGATCTTTACATATCATTTGCACCTACAATCTCTAGCATTCATAAAAATCTTGTCTTTTTTGTATTTTTGTTTTATTTTACTCTGATTATGCTATATGGGTATGATGAAACGGACAATGCGGCCATTGTTCAGTGTATTACTGTTGATTGCAGTGGCAGCTATACTTGTTTTTCGAATTACCCTTCGTTATAGCTCCATTGAGTTGAAAAATGAATACCCATTTGCTGGGAAGGCTGAAAAACCAGTTTTGAATGAGACGCTTTTGAAATATGCGTGTATTGATATTGGGGAACCCCGGTTGAAGAAAGAGGTTGAGGAGTTATTGGAAGGGAATTTCAGAGGACATAACCGTCATAGATCTTTTCTGTCTTCTGGGAAGTATCGTATTGATGTAAGTCCGAGGACAGCTAGAGGGGTATCGGTGCAGCTCCGGTCACCGGAGTTTTATCGTCTTTGGCAGAGTTTTAGGAGGAATTTGCAAGATTGGTTTAGAAATAGGAAGCTTCCTAAGGATGTGATGATGGATTTGGTGAGTGCTGTTAAGGTTCCTATTGATGCACATAGTGGTTTAGTGCGATCACAGAAGAGGTATAAATCATGTGCTGTTGTAGGAAATAGTGGGATTTTGTTGAAGAGTGAGTATGGGGAGTTGATTGATAGTCATGAAGCTGTAATTCGACTGAACAATGCAAGAAATAGGGGATTTGAACATAGAGTAGGTTCAAAGACTACTCTTTCATTTGTGAATAGTAACATTCTGCATCTTTGTGCAAGGAGGGAAGGTTGTTTCTGCCATCCCTATGGAGTGAATGTGGCTTTAGTAATGTATATATGTCAGCCTGTGCATTTCTTGGATTACATGGTGTGTAATTCTTCACACAAAGTGCCATTAGTTGTCACTGATCCGCGCTTTGACATATTGTGTGCTAGGATTGTGAAGTATTATTCGTTGAAACGATTTGTGGAGGGAACTGGGAAGTCTTTTCAAGAATGGGCTCCTGCTCATGATGGAGCTAATTTCCATTACTCTTCTGGTTTGCAAGCTGTGATGCTTGCTTTAGGTGTTTGCGAGAAGGTTAGTATTTTTGGATTTGGGAAATCTGCTTCAGCTAAGCATCATTATCATACAAATCAGAGGGGTGAGCTAAAGTTACATGACTATGATGCTGAGTATGATATCTACCACGATTTGGTGGAGAGACCGCAGGTAATACCATTCATCTCGGAGAAGTTCAAGTTTCCTCCTGTTTCTATATACCAGTGACCTTTCCACTCCTTTAAAGTGAGAGATTGATTGATTATATGTTAAAGTGCACTCTTTTCTGTTTATCTTGTATCTGTATTCTTCCACGGTTAAGACGAGGAGAAAATGTTGTCAAATTGTAATTGTAGGTTATGCAGATTGTTTGGGATACAGCTCAATTGTATAATGAAATCACAAGCAATGAATGAAATCTTTGTTGTACTTCTTTGTTATTTAAGTAAAGTAACTGTACAATGAATTGCACCATTTGGTCTTTACTACTACATGATTTTCTTAAAACATATTGGCACCCAAATAAAAGCATACTTAGCTTCAATATTAAATGCCAAACAATGGTATTGTTGTGTACTCTATGCAACAAGTTCTTGGGACACTGTTATGTACAAACTAGACTCAAATCAAGGTATATGTCTCCTTATTCATTTTGGCTGGAAAAGACTGTAGTATGAAGGTTCATTGCTGCCAATTGATTGATAATTTATGTACCCAGCAGTAAAATTTATCAGTAGCACGCTTCTTAGATCCGTGTGCGGCAAAGCTTCTATAGAGACGAGGCAGGATTGAGCAATGATTGATCAAAGCATTCATCGGGACCAACCATTTGTTGCTGGATTTTTATTAAGAGGGTAAGTAAAAGTTATATTGCAGAAGTTAGACCAGCTCTAAGATAGTAGAGATCTGTTAATGAAGTTGGATTCCATGCACCAAAAAGATCTGAGCTGATGAGCTAATAAAATCTACCATTTACGATAAGCTAATAAAATCTACCATCTACTCTTCTTTGTATAACCATATAATGCTGGATTTTGATTCCATCTATATCTATGTTTGGGTGTGCATTCTCCTCTCGGAGGTTGCTTATTTGACTAGTCTGTCCCTCTTGTCATTAAGTTGGCTGTTAATTATGTCTTATGTACCGAGTAGGTGCTTTACATTTTGATGGGAATTCTAGTGTCTGTTTTGTTAGTTGTATGTAGATTGTGGCCACAGTACGATTGCTTTATTAGAATTTCTCTTGTTCTGAAAGTGTCTATAACTGATATTACATTAGAGTAATCTGAGAAGTGGGTGTTTCATTTTGCATTTTCCTGTCATAAACAACTTAGCCTTTAAGAAATGACAAAGGATGTGTAGGGTTGTGTTCTCTGTTCTGCTGTTCTATACTTCTCCGTATAGAGTGTGAGCACCCCACAAAAAAAAGGGGAAAAAGAAAGAGAAAAATCACAAGAAATGAGAGAGCATATGCTCTCCCACGGGCCTCTTCGAGTATTGTGACAAAGCATGAAAGGGTTTTACTTTTGTATCTCTGTTTAAGCATCTAGTCTCTCTTTTTATTTTATTTACTTCTCGAGCAAACAGGTTGTGTCAGCGATGAAAACACTGTAATACAGTTGCCCTATTCACATTTGTACGTATTTGACTCTACTATTTTGGAAAGAAACACCCCACTACATAACACTAAATACTTGCAATTGTTTGTTCAGTTTTACCCAAGAACTTTAACAGATATACATCAGCCTCATTCAAGTAAGATACCAAACAAACATATAGAAAACAGAATATGGAAAAGGTCAATGGACCAATTTAAAATCTTTAAATCATAAGACAGTTTTGTCTTAACATTGTTAAGAAATCATTTTGGATCATGAACTGCATATTTGTCATATTTAAGTGGATTATCTTTGTGATCGGCTGGAATCAGCCAACTATGTAGACAAAATGCCCCGAATCGATGATTTTGTTTAATCCTTCCTAGAACTTTGCTCCCTTTGTCTTCTCTTCTGAGTATTCGGTGTTATCTATCCAACATTAGGTACAAATAAGGTATTTCTTGTGGAACCTATGCTTTAAGTTGTGATAACTCCTTGATTTCTTCTCCAATTGAAGCAATAGCTAAAACAAAGGAACCTTTCTGGCCTATCTACAATTGTGAGACCTTATCTAGCAGCTTCCGTTAGACCATGTAAAACGACTGAATCTTTCAAACTGAATGCATAAACATCATTGCATACTAAGAAACATAACAATGCTATGTACTACCGTTAGACTTCTTTCATCCTCATACAGGTCACGGGCAGTCAAGTGTATCAGATGGAGCTTACATAGATCTCATGCACAAGGAAAGAAGCTGAATGTAGCAGCTGAAGTATATGTATAAAATCATCTGGTTGAAGTTAGTTAGGACTTGGAACTTGTGCCAGATCAGATTACTTGGTATAAGTTTGTATTGATGAGTTGAGTGCTTGCAACTATGTTAGTTAGCAGCAATTTTGCCTGTGCCAGATCAGATTACTTTGTGTAATGTATTGATGAGTTGAGTGCTTGCAACTATGTTAGTTAGCAGCAATTTTGCCTTTGTATGTACATAATGATTGTTGTGCACAAGTTATTAGGAGAATGAAGAGAACACACTCATTTCTCTTTCAATCCCATGATATTACTCTCTTTCTATTTACTGTTTTTGTGAGAATTTGACGCGTATCAGACCCTATGGAGTCAATTGATGCATCCTAGTGTGATTGTGATTCATATCTACTGGTTGTCTTCTTGTTCTCTGTCAGTTTTAGCTTCATTATTATCTCTCGGTTGCTGTTTGAGATCGAATCTGTGCTTTTCTTCTGATAATCTGAGAATTGTATAGATTTAGTGATTCATGGAAGTAGCTATGGTTGATGACAAATGTTGATTTATTTGCTAAGAATAAAGGATAAAGGTAAGAATGATTCATTTGGATCAACAAGCAGACTTGTATAATGATTTATTTGGATCAGCAAGCTTTTTCAGCCCAAAAATCTACCAACATCTACTCTATTTGTATATTTAGAGGATTTTAATGTATATTTATTGAATAATATGATACTCTAGCGTTAGCCTCATATTAGCTATGCTCAATACTATAATTCTATTGGATTAGATCTCTTGGACCTAACGAAAAGGGCTCTAAGCTCAGCTCACGAAAGCAAGTGTGAGAGAAGCTAAGCATGAAGGTACCACTTCACTAATCGACTAAAACACAACAATCACAACCTTCGATTCAAAGGAAAGCTTTGCTTGCATGAGAAGTGAAGCATGAAGGTACCGCTTCCCTGACCGACTAAAATACATCAATCACAACCTTCTTTGGTTCAAAAGAAAGGTTTACTTGCAAGAAAAGTGAAGCATGTAGGTACCGCTTCTCTGACAGACTAAAATACAACAATCAAAATCCTACTTTGATTCAAAAGAAAGACGAACGATTTGACCACAAGCAAATGATTTGTTCCTATCAGCAATTGAATTTGATAGGGACTTGTATAAAATAAAGACAACTACTATACAGACACACTTGACATTCTAGTACTTGAACTTTGTATAAAGAAACGTAGGGTGCTGCGTCCTAGTAATTTTACCTAAGTAGTATAACATAGAGTAATTTAAAAAGAAAAAATAAATAATATAGGGGGCAAATTTGGACCTTCTCCTCAAGTATTTTTATACATAAAATATCCATTATGACACATTCTGGATTGGATTCAGTACTCTCCAATTTACGTTGGAGCTCCCTTTGGATCAAAGATCAAACACACTTGATAATAAATTTTTTTTTCCGGTGTCTGATTAAATTTGAATCGCTCTATACTCATGTTATTTGGTGGTGACGCTTTCAATAGAATTTTACTATCTTTAACTACGGGACTTTCAATTAATAATGAAACATTTTCATCACTGCATCACAATCAATAAAAATATTATCAATGGTTCAAAATATTATTTCATAACATTTACAATAGTAAAAAGGTAAATTTTCAATATATTAATTTGTTTAAGCAAGGTCATTTTTGAAAGTTTTTTAAAAATTCAAGATCATCCATCATGTTGAGCAGCCACACAATTTTCTCGAAGAAAAGTAAAGTCAAGCGATTCCATCATATGTTTTAAGGAAATGTCACATATAAATCTAATATTAAGCATACAAAAATCCAATATTAATATACAATAAGGTCGAGCCAAGAAATTAATTAAACTAGAGAAATGGGAACCTGCTTCTTTTATATTTCTTCCGACAGAACATAGTGGAGAACCCCTTCTTCTTGACCAATATTTTCAAATTTAGAGAAAAAGAGAACCAAAAATAAATTTAAAAACTTTAATATTTAGCAAAAAAAAAAATTGTTTCATTAAATCCAGTCAAAACCAATTCCATGTGAAATTAAAAATTTTCTGGTCTTCCCATTCCTATTGAACATATTATTACTTTGATAATTTGGACTATTTACGCGGAATTTACTGTTTATTTTTCTTAATCGATATACATAGACTATGACCTAATCATATTCACTAGTTATATACATATTATCTATACGCCAACCGTTTAATTTTTAAAATCGATTGAATTTAATATGGAGAATGAAAGTCTTGTATGCAAAGACTGTATCATCAACAATTCAGTCGTTAGTTTCTTTTGGAGTAATCATGTTATTGCATAAAGTTGCGGTCCAGCAACTAATGATATGATTGAACCCTTAACATAGGGTAAAAATTACACAAAAAAAAAGGATATATTTCTTTAGTTGAGACCTCCAAATTGGACTAGGAAAATGTATTACTTACTATATATATATATATATAATCTGTTCAACTTCCCCAACTAAGGTGTGAAAATTCTGAAAAAGATAAAAAGTAAGTACACACTAGCTAGTGGTTGATATAGATATACATGTTGGGACTTAATTGGTAGTATCCCAAACTCTTAATATCCAGGCAAAAAGTTCTGACTTTCACTTTACCTAAGGTACTACACTTTTCCCACTTGACAATTTCACGTTGATACCGCTAGATTATAAGTTTTGTTCATTTTAATTATTTTATGTTCATAAATTATCAAATAAATCTATGAAGATTAAAAACGAAAATATAGTGGTGGTGATAGTGATGATTATGATAGGGGATCGTACGTCGGCTCTATCATTGTAAATCTAGATAATTAGTTTTTTAAAAAGCTAATTCATTAAATAAATGTAAAATAAATAACATTATTTATTGATTTAGGAGGATTCTTTCGAACACTTTATACTTTTAGAAGAGATAAATCAGTGACACAATTTAACTCAAACTCATTACACTATGAAACATTACAAGTTAGCAATGAAGCTGATAAATTTTCTCCAATAAATCTATAAGCAGCATAGCCAAGGAGAAAATTCACCTGCTTCATTTACTTTAATGTTTTATAAGGTC